GTCTTGAGGGGTCGAATGACCCCGCGTTTTTAGAGGAGTCGATGTCCCCCTGTCAAAAAGGGTGGCGCCGACTTTTTCGGCGATTTGTTTTATCCCGTTTCCGGGGATCGCTCTCCTTTTTTGGCCTCGGGGTCTTTGTATTGCCAATTCGTTTCGCGTTTTATTTTAGGATACCCCTTTCGCGGGAATCGGTTTTAACTTTCGTTTGTGTCGGCGCGTCCCGGTGATGCGCCGATTGGATTACAGTTTCGGCTCCAATTTGGCGCCTTGTTTCATAGAGGGACCGCGAGAAATTCCGCACAACTATTTCAATTTTTCATTTGGAGAAACTGTTCATAAAGCCTACCTTCCTCATTTTTTGAAGACATCTCACTATATAGGTGCTACCTTGCAATTTTACCTCCTCCAGCAATTTTTACATCCCACTATTTGATGGTTGAATTTTCAGAGAGGTTGACTTGCAGTTTGACCCTTTTCCCCACAATTTTACCTGCTTTGCCATTTTTTTTTGCTTTTGTACTGATATTCTTGAATAAGTGTCTCACAATTTGATCCTAGTTTGGCAGCAAATTTGGGTCAAAGTGCAATGTGCTACGTGTAGCTGCTTCATTGGTTCTTAATTTTTGCAAAAAAGCTGAAACTTTTTAAGTGCCTGCAACAATGTATTGCAAACAAATGTTTTCTGAGTTGGCAAACAGTTTATTAAACTTTGCCTGTTTGCAGGAAATTTGCTGGTCCAAAAAATGTACTGTATCTAAATTTGCTGGTATTTGTGCCCACATGTTGGGGAATTTTGATTATTAGATCCACCAAAATCTATAATATTTTTGCTTGTCTTCTGGTCTTCTGCAGGAGGCGTGTTTGAAGTCAACGATCCTAGCATGGGTTCTTAGTGAGCTTTTTATTCTTACTCTTTACATGCGTTTGTTCGATTTGGTCAGCGAACCAAAGAGGAACTATTTCGTTGATCCATTCGTCGCGCGTTGAAGAGTTCCGACTGTTTTTCAGAGGAAGAATAAAGAATCACGGGCCGTTGGTTCGGGTGTCTAATATTTTCTTTTTTCTTTTTGAGCATCCATTTTTATTTTATGAGGAAGTAACATTGGATATTTGTTCGGTGCATTTCCTGCTTCGTTGCGGTGGTCGACTTGAAAAATTCTTTTCGGCAGGAAGTCGGGACGATGAGGGAAAATGAGTGTTTTTTTTTTTTTTGGGCAATCGCTGGCTTTGATTGCTAGTGAAGCCAGGCGGGCGTGGTTCCTTTGTTGGCGGCGTTTTGTTCCTAATACCTTCAGACTTGGCTGCACGTGCGCACTACTATCATCAAGAGGGATGTATCATGGCTTAGACTTATTTTCCAGCTTGGATTTGAATTAAATTCTTATGATTCGAGACCCTGATTTAATTGTCATTTTCCTTTCCGGTCATGTGATGGGGCCCCGAGGTGTGAATTGTAATTGGTGCGTGGATGTGATTTGTTTTATGTTGGAACATCAGCAGGTTAGACCACTTTACCCTTGGACTTCAAAGGGAATATATATATACATATATAACCCTTCTGTGTTGCAATGGGTTCTTTCCCAACCTGGGATAAAGTCAGGATTTTCTTGGGTGGCCACACATTTTATTTTTGCCTAAGGCCATGTGTTGCGAAAGTGAACAGTAGCCTTCAATTAGTTACACAAAATCTGAGAACCCAAATTTGCAGTAAACTTGTCTTCATTCATCTCTGTGAGAATCAATGAAGACCTTGGTTCTCATTTTTCTTTCAGAGCCTTCAAGGCTGTATTTTATTGCGAAAATCCTGTTGCTGTTTTTTGTCCTTGGAGGACATATTTGCTTTTTTCCAAATTTGGCAAGAAAACTCACTTCCATTTGAGCTCTTGTGTGATATACTCAAAGATTTTGCGCGTGAAAGAATTCTCTGTGAAACTTTGAAGTACAACAACCTTAAAATAGGGTGAAATTTCACCAAGGTTGTAGCCCAACCAAATTCTGTTGTTTCATTTATCTAAATTCTAAATATTTCTAAATTCAACTCTTTTCTCAAGCATCAATATTTGTCGAGGATTTATTCCTGACACCATGAAAGTCAAGCCAGGTGGCCTAGGGCACAGTTGGACTTTGTTTCCCAAAGTTGGACTTTTTCTGCTAATCTTTTGTGGCCTGTAAATGGGAACCTTTCTTCTGGTACCAAAAATGAAAGAGTTGAGAATTTCAAAACAATGCAACTTATACAGAGACAGGCTAGAAAAAAAGCTCAGCCTTAGGATGTATTTTTTGGATGCAACTTTTCTGTGGTTTTTAAGGAAGTATGCCAGGATTCTTCCAGACTTTGCCTTGAGTGAACTGTTAGGTTTTTTCTAAAGCTGTCCATACATCACGGACACAAAATTTTGTGGGAAAATTCCAACTTTGGCAACCAAGGGTTAAATGTTTCTCCTGTTGATCAAAAAATAAGGAGATAGTTCCACCAAAACTTGAATAAAACAATTTATCTCAACTTCGATCAAGAAAATAATTGTGCAGAAGAATGCAGAAATAAAAATAACGGTAAATTGATTTCGGCTGGAATGGACTCCAGCTTCATTCGCAAAAAAAATGAAAAATGCCATAAATCAAAATACTTTACAATTTCAAGGTATAAACTATCCATTCAGAATTCACCTCGTGTCGCAGGTTACCTCATGGTCCAATGAGGTAAGCGTATGGGAAAAAAAGGATACAAAACATGCTGTTGATTATTAACTCTAGCGGTGTTCTTATGTTGTCCGACAGATGTCACTCGCAAGCTCATAAAAGTTTTTAAATTCATCCAAATGCAAAAACCTAACCTTTTAAACTTTGAAACAAACACTAACTTGAGACTCGAGTTCCTTGCGATAGTTGTGCCAAAATTCAACAGCCTCAGAATTGGAGGAAAATGCATTCTCAATGAAAATTCGCACTCCACTTCCGAGTTCAATAACAGAAAAATTTAATATAGCCCAGATAAACTGAATATAAAATTGAATTTAT